TTTATTTTTATTTATTAATTCATTTTTTATTAAATATTTTTATTTTTTTACTTTACTTTTAAGGGCTTTGGGGCAATATTAGGGGTCTAAACAGACCCGATATTTCCCTTTTAAAATAGAAAAAGAGATTGAGAACACAGAGTCCTCAATCTCTTTTTCTGTGTTGTGAATATTATTTGTTGTATTGATGAACTGATTAATATGTTTAAATTTATATATTACTAACGTGTGTGTTTTCTCGAGTTAAACCAAGCTTTCGAAACTGCAAGATCAGCTTAAACTGCAAAGTTACAGGCTTCCTGAGCAGACAATACACGGAAAACAGAAGGAAGTTCTCCTGGTCTCATGACTGAAGTGACTCAACACAGGATGTACTAAAGACTTAACATCGAGACAGGGGGGAGGGGGGTTGAAGACTCTTACGAGACTAAAGTGAGGAACAAGTCCGAACTTTTCATTGTCTGTATTGAGTTCTCCCGTGCACGAATTAAACAAATGTTAATCTTTTCAAATATACCATCGCCTCGTCTCGATATATGCTGAGATTCCATCAACAGTGTCCCCTGTTATCAATGAACAGGCATCCTCTATGAATTAATGGGGGTGATGTAGATCTTTAACATATAGAGACAGTTAACATACCATAGTTATCTATCCATAGATAACTATAACGTACCATAGATAACATGTAGATAGTTAACATACCATATCCTCAATTATGTACACACACTCAGCGATCACTGATCGCTGAGTGTGTATACCTTGCTTTTCTCTCCGACACGCTGTCACAGGAGGCTGATCGAGCGGTGTAGAGAGGAAAGCCCAGCCTCCTGTGACAGCGCTGTCTCCGCCTGTGATAGGTGGCTAAGCGGTGTGGGAGGAGAGACGCTGGCCGCTCACAGCGCTCTCATCCTGCAGCGCTCGGCCGGCTGTCACTTTCTTTTCTCCCCACTGGAACACAGAGCAGCGCCCAGCAGGGAGTAAAGAAACCAAGGAGGTGCCGACGTATCGGCTGAAAACATGGCTCTTTCGGCATTATGCCAAAAGTGCCATTTCCGGCCGATATGTTTCGGCGGCCGATATATCGGTGCATCCCTAGTAGTAACGCTGGGTCTGGCCTTAACATAATCCTATATAGAAAAATCAATATGGTTCTACTATGGAAAGGGTCTTTATCTCACTTGCTCTCCTAGCTGTAACAATAGTCAGATGCTTTTCGGAGCAATTAATAGATTCAAATGGGGAAAGAAAAGCCTTTAAGACATGCAAAAGATTACATGAGGGGAATTTCTGGACTGGTGTTCGTAGAAGCAGAATACAATAATTTTTCTAATGCAGGGTTCTTACTGACAACCTCATGTCCAGAAATACTGAAAGGGCTGAGACTTGGACTTTCAAGGTACTACCAGGCAGGTTTCCATCCACTTGCAGGAAAACTAGGACCATAGCAATGACTGACCTAGACAAAAAGTCTATTTCCCAGATCCAATGAGAAAACAGACTCCACATTCTACTGTAAATGGCGGATGTAGTAGCTTTCCTGCAAGCCATTAGGGTGGACATGACCCTGTCTAACAGCCCTTTGTTTAGAAGGATTTCCCTTTCAGTAACAAAGCAATAAGTACCAACCTGTGTACCTGAGGGTGAATTACTGGCCCCTGGTATAAAGAAGCTCCTTCTCCTCCAGCAACCTCAGCGGAGGGGCGATGCTCAAGTCTGTTTAGATTCATGAACTCTCTTTTCCACTTAACGGTCTAACACTGATTGAAGTTTAGAAACAAAAAGTAGCTCCCCATCAAAAGGAAGATTGCAGAGTCTAGCCTTGGATGACATATCCCCAGGCCATGTCTTTAACCAAATGACCCTTCTGGATGCATTGTTCAAAACCAATGTCCCAGCAAGTAACCTTAACCACCTCAGAAGAAGCATTAGCTATATAAGCCACTGCTTTAGACAAAACCGGGAGGGATACCAGAATGTGTTCTCCAGAAGTACCAGGCACTAAATGCACACGTAATTCTGCTAACCATGAGTCAAGAGCATGAGCCACATTAAGTGGTAATCAATGCTGGTTTAAACCCAGTTGACCATGCCTCCCAAGCCTTCCTAAGGAGTCCCTCTGCTCTCCTGTCCATGAGATCTCTTAAATTACCCATGTCTTCACAAGCCAGGTCTGAACTTTTTGAGATAGGGAGGCATCAAGCTTGGGACACTCAGAACATAGTTTAGAATCCTCTTCAGAGAGGCAAT